CAAGTTGACACAATGTATCAACCATAACGCTGCTCTTTTCTATACTCTTATGCAACTGTTTAAACACTCTTTGTCACTTACTACATAGTTGTATGTATTATTGTTCACTTACTCCATATGTACTTAGAATAATGTGTTGGAAAAAGCAATCACATGATTTGTCTCTTTGCAACATATGCAGAATGAATAAGTAAAAGATTTTTTACTTTTCAGCCAAGGAACATGTATGTACATGTGTGTATGTACAGGTGTAGTCTTATGCATATTTACTATCCTTGTTATTTTTCCAATTTAACATGTTTTAGTTCTTGTTCATTTAAGCCAGGTAAATGTTCCCAAGTAAAAAACAGCTCAGCTTGCTCATAAGACCATATATGCGTAATATTTTGTGCTTGACCTTAGGTTGAACTACTTCAGCCTGTGACTTTTTAATTTTAGAGACTGGGAAGTGTTTAGGACAAAGACCATATCCCCAAACCAAATTTTGGGTTTTTTTTGTTTTTTTTTTTTTTTTTTTGGTTTTTCTCTGGTACCGGGAATCGAACTCACGACGTTGCGCTGGCCTCCCAAACCAAATTTTGGAGCACAGTGTCTGGAGATAGTTTAGAATATTTGAAATTTGCATTGTTCCAGGAAATCTGAACCTTAACATTCATAAAAGTCAAGTCGTTTCAACTGTTTTTAGAAGTTGATCAAAGATTTCTTCAGGGAACCACTTGTCTTTGCAAAATGATGGAACCTCCCCTTGTTCCTGATTTTACCATATCGTCACCTTTTGGTTAGTGCTGAAGGTGAAAGAAATGAGATGTGAAGCAGATTAAAGGCAGAGTGTAATACAAACTTTCAAGTCTTCTTTTTTAACTGTTCATTTTGTTTGTCTCTGTATTCCTTCCTGACCAACTGGACATGAAAATCAATCTTTCACATCTTACTGGATTCAATGAACTGGATTCTCTTTGCTTAATAAAAATGTACTTGGAGGTTCTAGTTTTTGTTTTCTTGGGAGGAAAATAGATAACTTTTAAATTCTGCACTCCTGCCCTCTGCATCTGTCCCCATTAGCTGGAAAAATAAATGCTGACTAAGTGGAAAAACTGAGAGCTTCCTACTCTGTTGGATTTAACAGATAACCTCCTTTGAAAGTTTCCTTATTTCCTTGGGATTTTGATAGTTATATACTAAGGGATGGTTAGCTGAACATTAGAAGGACATCATCAGAAAAATACTACCTAGTTCTCTTGAATTTGATTTCCCAGCTCTACAGACTCACATTCTTCCGGGGGAACTACTTTGTTGATTAGTCCACTGAGTATCACATACAGTTAATTCTTCTTTAGTAATCAACTACTACACTCATCAGTTCAGGAAAATATTTGAGTACTACCAACTAGGTAAAATATATACATCTCTTGATGAGAAAACAGGTGATTTCAAATAAAATTATAACTTGACAGAATATCAGCTAAAGCAATAAGTATTTAATAAGTATTATTGGATATCTTCACCAGGCTGTGGAAGAACCTATCAGTCAAAGAACAGTGTCAAAAATAAAATATAACTAACCCTGAACCTGAGTTCTCTCCTCTTGCAGCATAGCCATCTGCTCTTTCATTTATTTATAATTTCAGTACAATATTTAGCAGGAACTATCTTGGCCTGGAACTGAGGGGATGTAGTTCCTAATTGTGACATTAATTACTTTTGACTTCCTTTAACCCTTTGACACCTTGATTTTTCCCATCTGTCAAATGGTAATAACAAGGCATGCCCTATCTTCCCTATAAAATCAAAATAGAAAAATAAAAAAAAAAATTAGGGAGATTGTTTACAAATTAAAAGTAGTTAAAAAAAAGTGGTATATTTATATTAAATGATTTCCATATCTGTTGCTACAGATAACCTGTTACATTATTTAGCAAATATAATGTGTGGATCTCTTTCAGATTTTTAATCTAACAATATTGTTCTCTGGTCTCTGGATGGAATAGCTCATCCTTCTACTTTTTGGTTTCCATTTAGTGTGGACTTATTCTGACTGCACAAAATTATGATTTCCCTTCTCCAGAACCCATAATGCCGACTTCTAACATTAATGTAGCCCTAGATTCTTAAAATAACTGAGGAAATATACTTACAAATTTCTAACACCCTTATAGGTAATAACTCAGATATATTACACATTTTTAAACAATCTATCATGGAAGTAGACAAACTTTGTAGCTATCCAGTTAAAAGTAGAGAAAATCATTTCTTGCCAATTTGTCTCATGTTAATATTGGTGGAGATGTGAGGGCCACCAATTTCTTCTAAATTTGGAAATAATCCTCTTTCTATTTGTCCTAGAGTATATTTACCTGCTCACTAAACAAGGTATTTCCCAAAGCAAATATTTCATGGATTATTGATGGCCAGTTTCTTCAAGGTGACAAAGAAGGTAAGGAAATAAATCAATGAAAATGAGTTTGGCATAAAGAAGGAAAAAAAGGAGGAAAGAAAGAAGGAAAAAGGGAAGGAAAGGAGGAAGGAAAGAGCAAAGGAAGGAAGGGAGGAAGAAAAGGAAGGAAGGAAGGAAGGAAGGAAGGAAGGAAGGAAGGAAGGAAGGAAGGAAGGAAGAAGGGGAAAAGGGAAGGGAAGGGAGGGGATGGGAAGGGAGGAAAGGAAAGGAGAGGAGAGGAGAGGGGAAGAGAGGAGAAGGAAAGAGGGAGAGAGATGAAAAATCTCATTGCCCAAGTTGTTCTTGGCATTTAAGAATAATTCACATTGCAACACATCTTACCTATTAAATATCATTTTCTAATATTCCATCTCACTACTCCAAGAGGATGCGGGGTCACACTTCTCAGAATGAAACACAGTGGACTTCATCAAACAACACACAAACACTTTTACTAAAGTGTTCATAAAAGCCGATATTTTATGTGAAGGCAAAAATATTTGACCCAACATACAATTATTAATCAATTCTCTGTTTTTGCAATATTGTTACTTGCATTTTTTTAAAAATTCAGTCTATGTGTCCAATTTGTACAGCACCACGGCTTTCAGTCAGTTAATAAATAATTTCTGCTTTTTCTTGTGAGGGTCTGGGGCAGGGCTTGAGGGCATAGCACTAGAGGAAGTGTGTATAAAGGCATTGGCCCCTTAAAAAGGAGTATGTTCATGAAGAGGATTAAAACTTTCTGGAACAGGAACACACTGAGAGACACATCACAAAGCTGTGTTTTTCTTAGGTGTTGACCGTGACAGCAAATCTTGCCTGGACAACAGCCTTCTCCATAGTCATTTTTCTTCTAAGATCAGCATATTTTTAGCAGTAACCAAGTCACAAAACTTGCTGCATTGTTATTTTTAATTGGAAAAGTAAAAGCTTTCATTGCTGAATGATTTTTTTTGCTTTGTTTTGTTTTGTTGTTGTTGTTTCTGGTACCAGGAATCGAACTCACGACCTTGCCCTTGCCAGGCAGGCACTGTATCCCTGAATGATTATATTGACCATTTGATGCATGGCTTGCTGGTTATGTTTAGCTCACTTTAAAAACGGTTCACCCACAGCAAGAACAAAATGCGATCCTGACAGCAAAGGGAGTATTAAAGGTTATTATGAATATATTCTCCTGGTGAATAAACTCTGCATAGGGAAAGCACCCGGACTCGATGTGCTCATCACTCTCACTATCCAGAAGGTCAAATTGTTTGGCCAGAATTCCACCACCACACAACTGCATTTAGCTACTTCTTCTTTGAAGTTGTGGCACTGAGAACTTGTACTGTAAGGAAGCTGTAAGAGTCCAGAGAGATTGAACCTATGGGGACAAATGGTTATACATTAATTTCCTGCCACCATGTATGATGTTTGGAGGTTATACCAACAGTAGCAGTTAAAGAGAATCCAAATTCTAAAGAAAACACAGAGTCAAAAATGGAAATGCCTATAGATCTATAGTTTATTTCAGGAAAAGAATACAAGGTAGTAAGATCATTAGAATATTCCTTATCTGTTACACTTAAAGCATGGAGTCCCTAGAAGGAGCACAGGTGTACTTTTCTTCTCAGATCAGGAACCACCAAGATGTGCACAAACAAAACAGCTCAAGAATGAGAAGCCCCAAATAGAGTCTTGGTTTTGAGGCAGGGTCTTGCTATGTAGTTCAGGTTGGCCTTGAACTCTCAGTGATTCTCCTGCCTCAGCCTCCCAAGCACTGGGCTCACAGTCATGCTCCACCATGCCTGGCCCCAAATAAAGACTTTATTGAAATCTCTTTATATTTTACTGGTCACTTAGATACAATATTTTCATGAACATATTTTTATTACTACATTTTTACAACACATAATGGTTACATTCCTTGTGTGGAGCTGATCCATGTACATAACACATCTTAATTCTTTTTTCATCTCTGTTATGGTTTGTGTCTGCATGTCCCCACAAATCCTCATGCAGTCATGGGGTGGACTTCTATTCTAGATTTTTGATTGATCCGTAGTCCGATGTTGGGAATATGGGTGTGAGTGCTACACCCGCCCTGGGGCAGATAGTCTGCATACAATGTAAGGGAGGGAAAGAGGCTGCTTGCTGCTGCTCCTCCCTTTTGCTCTTGTTGCTTTGCTGTCTTCTGGCACTGAACAGTTACCTTGTGCCATGTGCCACCCTGCCTCGGAGCCAGCCAAGTATGGACTGAAACCTCCACAAACTGTGAGCTAAATAAACCTTTCCTTCCTTAACTTTGGGTGTCAGGTATTTTGTCTCAGCAATGAGAATAAACCAGTCTCCTTTCCTTCCCCTCCCTCCTCCCTCTCCCATCTCTTCATTGTGGCCTCAAATGGTTTCCCATTTGAGAAAGATCATTTCCCTACTATTTATTATCTTTTAATTTGTTCTTTATTTGTTATTTGGGTTTCTCATATAAGAGAAATCATGCAGTATTTAAGCTTATATGTCTGACAACTGCTATAAAACCAAACTCTACTGCAGAGCCTTCCCTCGGTCTAACCCACTCCAAAACTCATCAACTTGACCATTATTAATAAACAGTGCTGATGAGATGGGACAGTCTTCCCCCAACCCCTTGGACTCATGGCCACAAGTATTATTAATCAATGCACTTAATCCCTGTATCATGGATCAATGAATGGCATCTAGGAGCTTTAATAAACAGCTCAGGTTAACTCCAGCTCTGCTGGAACTGAGCCTCACTTCACAAAAGCTGAAGTTTGACTACTGTACATACTATAGTACCACTCATTAACTGAATGCAGTGGCATAAGCCTATAGTCCCAACTACTTAGGAGGCTGGGATGGAAAGACCATTGGAGGCCCTAAGCTCAAGGTCAGCCTGGGCAAGATCCCATCTCAAAAAGCAAATCAAAACAAAACAAAATAAAAACCATAAATTGATATCTTAGCAGCATTGTATAATTGATGTAGCAAATTATAACAACTAACAATTTTTATCTGTCTTATAGAGTTACATATTACTAATGAAGAGAGGAAAGACAAAAATGGATTTCTGGAACTGAAGTCTGTTTTAAAAAAGAGCCATAGTAATAAACCAGCCCAATCAAACAACCTCACAATTTGGTGTATAGCTTTGTTTCCAGTCCCTGGAAATAAAGTGTGGAATACCTCATCGGAAAAGATCACTTTTTCCTTGGGTGAGTTGTCTGTTTAATAAGTCCACAACTATTTAACAAGGACTGTCCACAACTGCCAAGACTTCAGAGCACATCTAGTTGGAAAGAATATAATAATATTCATTATGTCCGTAACATTTTAATCTAAGAAAAACTCAGAACTCTCTATGTAATGTAAACTTTAGCTAACCAGAATATTTACTACCTTAAGCCAGGTAAAATAAGAGATTTTACTACACAAAAGTTGGGGTCATATGCACTGACAGAAGATACGCCTAGAAAGAGGAAGTCTTTTATGATGACTGTCATAGCTGCATATTTAATGGTAATATTATGAAACTAAACAGAATTGAAAATTATTATTATAACTCTCTATGTAAGATTATTAAGCTCTTTAACCATTATCCTATTTTCAGACATACTATAGTCTACAACATGCTCATAACAGCAGAATGACTTATGAGGGAGGTTTTCTTTGCATCAAGAAGCTCTTTCACAAATACAGTGGTTGGTTATTGGAATCCTTGGCAAAAGAGAGGTGTGTGTCTCAGAACTATTCCCACTGCTCAGAAGCAGGAGTCATTCTGATGTTGGGGAAGTGACATCAGCCCCGGAGCCCTACCTGTGTGTCTCTGCATATGTATGAACAAATTGAGTCAATCATTCCAAAACTGTGATGGATTTACAATAAAATAGCCTTACTTAATATCACCTAGTTCCCTCAGGAATAAAGACACCTTTTTCCTAGAAGGCTGGACTAGGGTAGGGTTGCAGCCTTGAAGTTAACTTTCTCACATCGATTTGCCAGTAGTTTTGACAGAATCTAAGAATTCTGAAAGAGAATCATATTTTCATGCCTGAAAAACAAAATTTTCTGACGGTAAAATTGTGCTTGACTGCAAGATCAAAAAATAATTAACACTTTTAAGGTAATAAGGAAGAATACTAATTCCAAAACCCCAAAAGCACATATAATTTCAATTTTATAGGACAGTCCTTGATCTGGTGTAATTTTAGGGGCTGAGCAGGTGGTTAATTATAAATTGCCAAATGAGCCTTTAGCCTTAATGATCAAATATTAAAGACAATAAATCTTGAAGAACTTCATTTCCCAAAATTATAGCTCACATTCTGGTCCCGTCTGACATAAATCACTGTGAATAAGTTAGAAAGTGTAGCTGAGGCTCTGTAAAGCGATGCCATCGAGTTTATCAGATTTCCCTGTGTTACACGCTCTTTAAACACTTGCTTCCACACAAGCTGTGGGCCCGTGGTGGTACTACCGGGTGCTTGATGAACTCCGGATACACATCTGCTGCTTGCGGCAACCGTCAGTGCCTTATCAAGCTATTATTGCTGACAAGATACTGAAATGAAAAGCAAGAAGAAAAATGACATCTCAGTGCTAGAGAAGAACTGAACATTACAGAAGAGGAAAGAGATTTAGCGAGGAAAGAAAGAATTTTATTCCCTTTTGTGCCAGAAAAGGGTCACCATGCTAGAGGTAACAAGGAACAGTGTTCTGAAGTACAGCCTCTCCTAGGAAGTTCAGGTGCTCAGTGAGGTTCAGAGAGGCTCACAGAACTCAAGAAGGAAGGATCCAAAGGAGCTTGATTTGAGACCTGGCAACTATGAGCACCAAGGCCTGCAGAATTCCCAGGAGTCCGTATCTACAAACAGATGAAACAGAAACAAAATGTCCTTTCCAGAAGCAGCCTGCCCTGTAGCTTGTCAGAATGTCTAAAATGCTGCATTCCATTTGCTTGGTATACTGGAAGTATGGGGGTTCCTGAGGTTGTTGTTTGTTTAAAGTGGAGGAGAGATAACTTGTTTTATTTTATTCCAGGAGTTGAATACAAATTTCCTCCCAGGCTGACAATAGATTGGCTGTCATCAGCCTTGACAGAAATGCGTTCATTAAGTGAATTTCCAACTGTAACTGTTGAAATAAAAACCTTTGGGACAGAGTGGGAACTGAGGGCATATAGAGAGCCCTTCCCAGTCCTCACATGGCCCAGGAAGTCTGTATTTGTAATCCCATGAAAAGTTATTGGAATTCTAGTGAGTTCATTTCAACCTACCACTTCCAGTGCAACCCACGGCGAGAATAAAGACACTAAGGCATATCTGTAGTTATGGGGAGCCAAGGGGTCCTAAGTCCAGCCATGATGATGGCCATCCGGAGCAAAGGCCTCGACCCAAGGCTGAACCCAGGTTTTCTTCATTCATGAAGAAGGGAGTGGCTTGAGGGTGAGTGACTGTGAGAGTGGTGGGAAACAGGTGAGTGCCATGAGCTGGGCTAGGTAGGAGGCCTGAAACCACCTCTGCAATATGCAGAGAGAAGGATCTGCAGAAAGAGTCATCTGCATAACACAATTGAGATAGTGTCTAATGTTTTGGGGTCAGTGCTTCAGCTCTGATCAGTAATCTTTGAAGCCCCAGGAAGTCATAGCCTCTATCCCAGCCAACAGCATGGAGCATTGGCTCACACATCCTGCCTCATCCTGGCTCACTCGTGGGAACAACGGGGGCTCTGAGGAAGCACACCTGCCATTTTCAAAGATGGCAGCACCTCAGCTGGACAGATATGCATTACTTAAAGCCAATTCTGCGAGAAGGAAAAGTCCTAGCCAGCTCTGTACACATCAATGCATGGAAATAGATTCAGGCTCAGCCAAAATGGAGGCAATTCCTCCTCTTTCAAGGAGAGTCACCTAGGTGGTCCTCCACAAGGGTTGACAGGCAGAGTATGTATGTGTATGCTTGTATATATGTGTGTGTGCATGTGTAAGTGTGCCTGTGTATTTGGGGGTGTAGAGAGAGGAATAAAAAGTGATATCTCTACGGTGAGACAATAGGACCTCTGAATATTGAGGTGGAAAATGTCAGACAAATACTTCTTGTTTCATGGCTTTCTGCAGTTCATCTAGCCTGGTACCTGTGACCGATCCTTCGGTTCCTGAGAATATCAGTAGAGAACCTTCATGTAGATATAACTCACCCAAAGACCTCATTAAAATATAGATTAGGATTCTAAGGCTGGGGTGAAACTAAGATTCTACATTTCTATTAAGACCTTAAAAAACTGTTTTCTTGGTCTATGGAACATATTTTGAGAAGAAAGGATCTAGCAAGCCCTGGGGTTTGGTGTATTTCTAGGTGGGGCAGATAAGGCCAGCACATGCTCTCAGGGAGCCCCAGAATTGACCCTGCTGTCCTTGGGGGTCAAACCCACGGCTGCTGCTGTCCCTACACTGGCTCCGAGAATGTAGCCCAGCCTGATCCAGAGTGGACACACAGGGAAGCAATGAAGATGCTTTAGGCAAACAGTTCATCCTCTCACAGCAGTCATGATGTATGCAGTGATCTGAAAACTAGACGAGATGTCTCTGACGATTCTGCATTTGAAATTGGGGAAATTTCTTTTCCCTGCTAGGTTATAATCACACTCCCTTTCACATCCTCTGAGTTTTGTTTTGAATAAGCAGAGTTTATACTTTAGAGTCCAATCTGAAACCAGACACAGGGTTGTCTTGTTGGGTTTGGTTTGGTTTGGTTTGGTTTGGTTTGGTTTGGTTTGGTTTGGTTTGGTCTCAGGTGAAAACTATGTATCATGTTTATCACAGGGTAAAAAGTTCTTCTCAGAATGCTAATATTACAGTGATATCTTCCTAGCAAGGAGGCTGAAGCTCTCAGCTTCCGAAGACATTTGTTAATGAAATATAAAGGAATGGTATCCTAACACAGACATACTTCAATGAAAAATACATCTTTCCCAGTGAAAAATAAATCCTTCCCATTATGGAACTCTGGGATTGAGCATAATTTATCAACATCTTTCATTCCACGAGTTCACAAACCTTTTTCTGTAAAGGGCCAGGTAATTAATACCTCAGGTTTTGTTTACTATTTAGTCTCTATCACATCCCTCAGTTCTGTCACAGCAGCTATAGACAACACATAAACAATAGACACAACTGCGTTCCAACAAAAATTCAAACACAGGCAATGGGCAGGATTTGACGGAAGTCCATAGTTTACCAACCTCTGTTCTAATCAATCCACGGAGAAAAACTTCTAAGCATTTATTTTCAAGGCCCATGTTCCATCTTACTGAGGTACTGTTTCAGAAGATGATGCTTTGATCTGCCAGCAGTCATATATGCACCTAAAGGTGATCTTTTTTCTTTCAGTGTTAATCAATTTTTATGCATTGAATCTGTCATTGTCACCTGCTAAGATCCACAAGTACAGTGAGGGATAAAACAAATGTCTTCTCGTGAAGGGAGTACATGGTGGGATTGAGTAATAAACATCAAGGTAAACATTGAGGGGTGAGGGCATAGTAGGGGAGGGAATATGACCAAAATATGTTACAAGCATATATTAAAATACAGTCTTGAAACACAATATTTTAAAAGTAGTAGGCACTCATAAAGATCTATTTGAAAAATACAAAATATCCTCAGGTTTTCTCATGAGAAGCCATATTCTAGAGATCATGAGGATAAGAAAGTATTAGGAAGCAGCAGGAACAAAGACCAAGAAAGGTACTGTGTTTGAGAAATCCTGTGGAAATATTTGCCTATTGGTTAGAATGTATAACTTGAGAGAGAAGGAGAGTGAGAGCAAAGATGATATTCAGTATCAGAGTTGGTAGTGTAGTAGGAAGCCACATGACAAAATACGCTGAAGAGTTCAAATTTCTTTTGGATGACAGAAAGGAAGAGCATGGGCATTTTGTCTAGCTGATACATATAACTCTCCTAGGAGATTAACAGCACAAAAACGTTTACATGATAACCAACAGTGGGCACTGCCTACAGCCACCAGCAATAGCTACACTGCCAATGACAAGTATAAAACACAGATCGTGGAAACAGATTTCTTCCACCGGTCCTATGTGCTATCAAGGGGGGGGCAATTAAATAGCATACCCTTGTCCTTAAGGTAAATGACAGAAAAGAACTACTGGTATAGTTTGTAATTAAATATCTAAGTGATATAGGTCATAATGTGTGATGCTGTGTCCAATGCACTCTATCAAGAAAAACTGCAAAATTCTCCAACCTCAAAAATCATCTAAGCACTTTTAATCCATGAATTCCTGAAGCTAGCAGATCCTTATGGCATTTGTAAATTGTTTTCTACCTCAATATATCTACTTTACAGCACAATAATGGAAATTGAAATAAATGAAATGAATGCAAAATATAAATAAGGGAAAGAACATGCTCTAGTCTCTATTTACACACACACAAAAGAAAAATTGTAGCCAAGAAAGTTAGAAGGATCAAAACAATACTATAGATCTTAAACTTACTGATATTATATCTAATTAGGTTGCTGTATCATTTGTCTCTACTCTTGCTAAAATTTTGTGAGTTTATGGACTTTGTAAACCACATGGTTATTTCTGGAGTATTTCAAACATTAACTGCTATCATAAGCTTCCCATGTCTTGAATTACATGTCACTCTCTTTAGGAAACATTTGTAGAAATTTGAATCTTGCTGGTTGCCCCATGCTGCAATCCCATGTCACCTGGTCCACACAGTGCCTCATTAACTTCTTTCTTGAATATTTGCTTTTTAAAGATAGCTGCATGCTGTCTTTGTTCACCATTAAATCTCATCGCGTTGCCCGTAACAGCCCCTCAATCCCTATCCCTTCCCCTTTGTCTTCCCCTTCGTCTTCCCTTCCTCCTCTTCAATATGTATTTATTAGGTAATCAGGAAGTTAAAGTAAAATATTTTTAGGAACTGTGTCAAGGCTTTGTCTTCTTATTTCAATGTTTTGTTCGCTGTGTCTGTCCGATCCTTTTGTAAATGGGTCTGTCTGACTCTTGGGTCCTTGTTTTGGAGCAAAGATGATTGAAGCCAATAAAATAGCAAACAGCAAGTAGTAGGAATTGCCAAGGGCATGTTTATTGGAAAGAACAAAAGAAAAGCTCTCCACTATTCATAGAGGGGTGTTCTGTAAGGCAGAAACCATAGATGTCTGGGTCCCTTGGCTGTGTATACAGTTTTTGGTAGAGGTGTACGAGACAGAAAGCAGGGATGCTCCTGGTTGCGGATCAGTCTTTGCCCTCTGGTAAGTAAGCTGCTTCATTTGCATTTCACTTTCTCTAAGGTCTCTCCCATTTTAATAAGGACCTGTCTCTGCTATTTCCTTAAGCCCTTGATAGTCCCTTGTGCTATGCTAATTTAGACCTTTTAGTTCACTTTAAATTACCTGTTCGGGACCTGTGCCCTATCTGCCTAACTTCCCCTTCTCCTGGCTTCCCTTTCAGGCTCCGTAAATATCCCAACGGATTCTCCATTCAGTGTTACAGAATCTACCCTGGGGACCCAACCTTCTCCCACCAACAGCGCACCTCTTACAAGTAAGAATACCTTCACACTGTTTTTTTTTCTCTGTAAGTTATCAGTCCTTTAACCTAGCAGATGGTTAAAGACAAAAAACTTCAGCCAGATTGCTATGAAATTTTAGATAAGCCCGTTAAATACTGTTCTCATGGCTTTAAAGATTTAACACAGCTTCCGAAGTCCTTCACTTAAAGCCTAAGGGAGACTTGGAGTAGATCAATATTTAGAGAGGAATTTAAACTCTGTGTTTATCATTAAATAGGTTAGTACATATTTTGAATAGGCTAATAAATTGGGAGTCCACCTCTATAACTAAGATCTTAGTGGGGAGCTCAAAAAAACTGGGTCACAAAATGGCATCCCGTGGGCCAAAGATAGTTACATTACTTCAAATTTAAATTTATTTGGGTTCAAATTAATCTACTGTTCTAGTTAACAGTAGTTAACTAGTTTGGGTTCTAATTAATTAAGCTGGCTGTTGAGGACTACAAATGTAGCCCTCCCATCTGTGGGATCATCAGTGGCGGAGGACCCTGGGTCAGTGCTGCTATGGCAAAGGAATGGCAGTGGTTCTCAGAGGTTGGCATTGCTGCAAACAAATCATAAATTTGCAGGTTGATGGCCTTTGTGTTTAACACAGAAGCAAGGTGACTTTCTCTCTTTAAGAAAAAAAAAACTCATAGTCTATATAAGTAGAAATATGACTTTCATTTCTTATATAATTAAAGCTATCAGTTTTATCTGAAAATGAGAATTGAAGATGGAATTTTAAAAGGCAGCCTGTAGGAATGAATAATCCCTTTAGCCAGTAGGTTTTGGCATATAGCCCACAGCCACTGTCACAAGTAGATACCTCTCAGAAAAGGAAGCCGATGGCAAGTGAGAGATGCCTGCAATAGCTCAACAAAACCTTTATGATGATCTAGTCTTTTTTGTTTTTAATGTGTTCTACCCCTCCCCCTTCCCCTCTCCCTTCCCTTCCCCCTTCCTTTTTCTCTTCCCTTCCTCCTCTTCCTCTCCTTCTTCTCCTTCTTCTTGCTTATTTATTAGCCTCAGTTCATCATTCAGTAATAAATTGTAGAAGACTATGGCATTCCTCAATCAGTAAATATTAGCGTCTTCAATAATAATACCTTAAATCTCTACAGTATGTTTTGTATTAATTGTCCATGGCTTCATGAAAAACCACCTTAATACTTAATTTATAAAATATGTCACGGGGTATCTGGGAGTCAGGAATCCAGGAGCAGCTTAAAGTCTCAGCAGCTTCTTTCATGAGATGAAGTCAACCTGTTTGCTGGGGCTTCTGAATGCCTTGGTAGGGGCTAAAGCACCTGCTTTCTGAGCTCAAGCATACTAGTGGGAGGCCTTACTTCCTAACCACATGGGTCTCTTGATAGGACTGTGTCCAGTATGGCAGCTGGCTTCCCTGAGACCAGGTAATTCAGAGGGATTAAGACAAAGGCTATAATGCCTTTTTAATGACAATATCCCATATTGCACACTATCACTTCTGCCTCATTTTATCCCTTAGAAGAAAACCACTAGGTCCACTTTATATTAAAAGGAGACTTGGACTCTGCCTCTTTAAGGGGAGAATATTAAAGAGTTTGTGGATAAACTAAAGGCATCATGCTGTCATTTGAAATATTTGCATATGTTATCTAATCTTTTTATGAACAGTACACAGAGTAAGCATTCATTTGCATTTTCCAGATGAGGACACTGAGACAATGAGAGCTTACATTATCACCCTAGTTAGTGACAGAGTTAATACTTACACTAAAGTCTTCTGATTCTAAATCTAGTTCTTTCACATTAGATACCATTTTTTCTCCATCATTCCAAACACTTTATAAAGACAGTGATCATGTTTTCTTCTTATCATATGCCTAGCACAGAGTAGGCACTCGAAAAATATTAAATAGCTACATTAATAAAATAATGTTTTTTGACATGTAAATGTCATATAACTGAATGTATGAGTACTTTTTTCAAAATGTGCTCTACTTGGAGGTGTAAGATATATACATAACAATAATAACTCAAAGTAATAAAGTGGCACACCTTATTGTTGCAGAATGTAAGAATCCAGAGTGACTGCAGGAGAAATAGGAGGATTTATTTTAGGTGTACACTGACTGAGCAGACTCCTGTCCAAAAAGGACTGAGCCATGAACAAAGGAAGGGCTCCAGTTTTTATATATTTTGTCTAAGGGAGTTGTAGTGAACCTGGAAGTGAATGTAAACAAAGATACAGAAATGAGACAAAGGCAGTTATTTACTCCATGATAGTTTTAGAGCTTAGCCTTAAAAGAAGACAGATTCCAGGATGTCATCAGACTCTTTACAGGGACATGGCTGTTAATCTTTATCAGTACCAGAGCAGAGCTCAGCAGTTACAGGAAGGAGAAGTTCAAGCAGGAGCTGCTCAAAGCTAGGAGGAAAAAAATTTATTTTCCTCTAAATTCTGCTTTATTACAGAATAAAAATATCCAGGGAGATGCACAGATCTGGAAGTATCAGGCTTCAAGTTATGAAAGTTCCCTATGGGTTCATAAAGTCAGAAAATGTTCTCTAAGAGAGAATAAATAAGCTGATCTCTGAGAAGTGCATTGCATTTTCTTGACTCAGTAGAGAACTTGAAAGAATTTTCTAAACAGAGAAAAGGAAGTAAACAGATGTACACTGGCAAAGATGTTCATAGTTATTTGGGAAAATACCAATTAATAAGATTAGGCCAACGAGGTGGAATTGTGCTTTAGAGAAGCAAGGATGAAGATTGGAAAAAGAGATCTGAGTCTCAGCACAATATAATATATTATAATATTATCCTTTAGGAAAAGAATGGGACACCATTAAACATTTTTAGAGGGTGATATAATTCATTCTCCAAATATTTATTGAGCAACTACTAGGTATCTGGTACATTTATGAGTGGTAGAAATACAGCAATGAATAAAGCAGAAGAAAAATGTTTCATGGCATTTGTGTTTTGCTAGATGAAAGTACACACGAACTCTTTCTAGCTGAATTTCTACAGAGTTAGTCAGTGTTTATTAGGTGCTCACATTCGACCAAGCACCATCCTTATTTCTGAGAAGAAAGTCATGTTTTCAATTAGCAATAATCAAGCCTCAGATAAACCTCACTGGCTACAATACTACCACTGCTCAAAGCTTGTAAAGAAAGTCAAAGTAAGAGAAAGCATAATTGTGCTTAAGGAGCCTATAATTTAACACAGGTCTAGTATCATGGATAGAAGGCAAAGTAAATATAAATATATTTACTTTTTAAAAAACAGAAAAAGTGCTGTGTGATCTACTATCAGAGGGATATGATGTAATTGGAAAGTTTAAGGAGAATCAAAGACCTTTTTTAGAAAGACACTGCCACATTCAACCTGAGAACTGGTTTAGATTGATATTCTCAACCAAAGTAACACCCATCTCATCCTGTTGGACATTTGGCAATGACTAGAGACATTTTTTGGTTTTGTCACAGTGTACATCTGTTTACTTGCTTTTCTCTGTTTAGAAAATTCTTTCAAGTTCTCTACTGAGTCAAGAAAATGCAATGCACTTCTCAGAGATCAGCTTATTTATTCTGTCTTAGAGAACATTTTCTGACTTTATGAACCCATAGGGAACTTTCATAACTTGAAGCCTGATACTTCCAGATCTGTGCATCTCCCTGGATATTTTTATTCTGTAATAAAGCAGAATTTAGAGGAAAATAAATTTTTTTCCTCCTAGCTTTGAGCAGCTCCTGCTTGAACTTCTCCTTCCTGTAACTGCTGAGCTCTGCTCTGGTACTGATAACAGGGCACTACTGTCAGCTTAGCAGGTAGAGGCCAAGGCTTCTACTAAACATTGTACAATACAGGTGAGAACAGACCCATCACACGAATTACTTAGTTCCAAATATCAATAGTGCCAAGTCTGTAGTAATTAAAGTAGATATTTTTCGCTTTACGAAATCAAGTGTAGACGTCTGTCAAGATGAGAATGACAGATTATGTTTGGAGCAATTTTCTGTCTGTTAATATGTCAAAAACCATGCTAAATTCATAGTTGGGTACATTAAAGTGAAATTTATTTTCCTAAGCTAATCACTGAATTACTGTTGAAAAAGATCCATATTTAATCTTGGCAGTCTGGAGGATAATTGCAAAATCACATGCTGACTTGCTGCCTCTGGAGCTGGTAGAATTCACCTTTGTGTGTTCTTTTAAGAAAGGTAGCGAGGTGGGTCATGTCATGGAAATCAACTTCAAAAGGCAAGGGTTTCACTTCAGATTCTAAGCTGTAATGAACTAGATAATTCAGTCATAATTACTAAGTTACATATCTGTCTGTAAGCATATAATTCTTATTCTTTTTTATTCAGTGAAAGGGAGCCAGGTCTGTAACTTAGTTTTAAAAACATGTAGGAGGTCATGGAAGCAATATTCTTCAGCTATGGGAGGAGAACTTTACAACTCCTGCCCAGGGAAAGCTTCTCAAGGAAGCCTCATAGAATTCAACCAGAGCCAATTAGTGTTTCCTGGGTCCCAGCTGCATTCTCAGTATTGTTAGAGGAGGCTAACATGTTAAGCAGCAGGAAACAGGCCCCACAGAACAATTAGGGACAAAGTTAGGGTGGGGAAGTCTTTGCCTAACTCAGGAGATTTTGTTGCCCCAAGGAGAAAGCCCTATGTATTTCAGTTCACTGGCTATGAAGTAGCTACTGGTTATGTTGCCTAAGAAATTAGACCAGGGCTGGGGATTTAGCCTGGCAAGTGCAAGGTCGTCAGTTCGATTCCTGGTACCGGAAAAAAAAAACCAAAACCAAAAAAAAGAAAAAGAAAACAGGCCAAAGAAATGTCAACTTGACTGTAAAACCATTCAACACATTCATTCAAGTGAACACCGATTGTCTACAAAGGATCTTAAGGTGCTGAGGTTACAGTGATGAACGAGAAGACAGGAACCCTGTTGCACAGAGCTTACAATCCTGTATCACTCGGTCTTGCTTC